AAGGTGTTTTTTTTTTTTTTTTTTTTTATATATCATGTGTTTGATTTATTAAGTACATTCAAACTGAGAGTATTGATTCCAGGGGAACCTTCAGGCCAAAAAAAAAAAAAAAAAGAAAAGAAAAGAAAAGAAATTCAGTTCATAATGCCAAGAAACAAGGGGTTCCATTTCTTTATGACCCATCCCACCCTCTGTGACTTCCTATGTTAAACTCAAGTGGGAGCAAGAAGTAGACTGTCTTGTCTTACTACATTCTGCCTTGTTGAGGTAACCAAACTTGGCATAAACTAGCCCCAATTACTCCCACTTCCAAAGAGCAATATTGGTTAATTTTTCTGAATTCTACAGGAATAATGTTTCTCTTCATGTAAATAAGGAAAGAATTTGTCTCAGTTCTCCTTTCCAGTTTTCTTGGACCCATAGGTTTTATAGAATAGTACATTTTAATTCCAAAGAAGATCTTGCTTATATTTCTCAATGTTCCAGTCAGAGACTAAATTTTAAAATCTTCTCCTGTTCCACAAGTGTTTCTTATACACACACACGCACACGCATACACAGACACACACAAACGAACATGTTATTTAATAAATTGACACTCCCATTTTAACTGATTATGTTGACACAGTCATGTGCCTATGTAAATAGAGAAGGGGAATATAAATGGGTGGTAGAAAAAAGGGACTGATGGAAAAGTCACTTAACAATTACGTAAGTTCATTAGTACCAGTACATCGTTTATTCTCCCTACATGCCATAACCATTGCCTACATATCATGATTAAGAAAATAACTGGGGGCTGGCTGGTGGCATTGTGGTTGGGGCATTGGACTTCCACATGGCAGACCATGATTTGAGTCCCTGACCTGGTGACTTGCTTTTTCATTTTCCCTTTCTCTCTCTTTCTCACTGGTCAAATAAAATAATAATAATAATAATAATAAATAAGATTAAATAAATCTTTAAGAAAAGAAAACAGTGGCAACATTTTTAAGACATTTTAGATAATTTTAATGTATTTGGCTTTTTAAAATTCTTTCATGGAGTATGTCAACCTAAGGAAAAACTAAGCCCATAGTATATCGGAAAGACTGTGTGCATGTGTGCACCTGGCTTACTGCTGACATATAATTCCTTGGAAACGCTGCTTTCCTTTGACACCAGATACAATGAGAAAGAAGGAGAAGCTTAGAGGAGCTGTCATTTAAGTGAAAAAGGAGTCAGTTATTTCTGGCATATTTCAAAATTGTGTCATATAAGAAGTTGATCTTCTATTGAGGTTTCCTATATTGAAAAAGAATATGATGGCATAGTTATCTTTCACTTTAGTTAAATATTAACAAGGTACACTATCAAATAATGAAATAATTTATAGGAAACATGTTATATTTTTTCAAATAAACGTACAATAAAATTACCTAAATGTATAAAATGCTTCTATATCCTTTAATGGATTTGGGGTTTTCTTGATCTCTAATCAGTACTCTAGTATTCTAGAGTCCATCGTTCTTCTACAGAAGCCATCATTGTTCATATGATTTTTAAAAATCACTATTTCCATTTATTGAGCACTTTCCACATAATAGGCCTTGTATTTTTTATGTATTACATTGATAACTCTATCAGAATGCATTTTTATTTACATTTAATCACTGTACATCTTTATAGTATACAGCATGATTCTTCCCAGCATGAATACAGTGCATAATAGTCAAGTCAGAGACGTT